CATAACTTTACTTCCAACTATCTGCATACAGTTGTCAACACAGAGTGATTATGGTGTAAGAAAAAAAACAAATAGCAACAATATTAGCAACCAGAAGCTTTTCACAAAATTAGTTAAGTGTTTAGTAAATTCATAAATACCTAGTTCTACTGGTTATATAGTTTAGAAATAATATCTGATTAGAAATGGAAACGTAACAACACTATCACCATCTTAAAAAAAAAAGCAAGATGTTTTGAGATTACCAACTTAGAACATCCAGACAAATAAGAGATTGGTATTACTTTAGACCAAATAGTTTTAAAAGATTACTCTATGAGGGTTCATAATTCTAATGTAAAGTAATAAAAGACATGAAAGTAAAGGTGAGCATTAAATTATTTTTAAAATTCATAGTTATAATCCGAGTGAATACTAAGGAACAGAATAATTTTAGAGACAGAATTTTTTCTTTTTATTATGACAAGCATACAGTTAATATTGAGATGTTCATTTTTTAAACATTAATGCTGCTTTTGCAATTCCAGTAAGTAATTTAAGAAGTAGCCTTTGGATTTAAATCTTAAATATTTACTTAAATCAAACTGTAAGAAACACTCATTTTTAAAGGTAAAACCCACAAAAAAAGACATGTCACTTTCACTACTCCAGTTTTCTAGGTAATTATTTTATATGTCATGAAAGACTACTATGTATTGGATGAAGACAAACAAAAATGGTATCCAAGCCCACTCTTTAACATCCCACACATTCATTCTGATGAAGTAAGTAACTCCAAAAACCTCAGCTGGCCTTTTCCTTGAATAGGGATTAGGGACACAGTTCAAGTTCAGCAGACATTAACTCTGTAAAAGGAAGCTAAGTGATAACCATGACTAGCACTTTCTACCACAAATCCAACTAGAAGCAAACAGCTCAATTGGAGGATTCACAAAAATGGCAGAGGGGTTGGAATAACCAGACACATGGGTGTCCTCCCATTCACCACTTCTGCTCTGTGATGGGAAGCCCACTCTACACAGTCCCTGATACCACCCCCAATGCAGGAACTGCACTCTTTCAGAGGACTTTACTCGAACTGAGCAGCTTCTTCAGAGCTGCCTATGCCATGCTTCTCACATCCCCAAAGTCAGCTGCTCAGTAATGGTCTTCCAGCCATTTAGAAGATTTGGGGGTCCTTGTCACCAAGGGGTAGGAGCTGGTAGGAATGGCATTTATTTTATAGATACTAGGCTTGTTTCCCTTTAAGAGAGCTAGGAGGCCATCCTCAGGATTTGGTTGGTTCATGAGACTAAGGCTCAAGACACTGGCATTACCTCCTTGTGAGGGATGAAAAGCCCAGCGGATGGGGAGTTAGCAGCCGTGATGTTCAACAGAAATTCCACTACCTTATGGGATGTCTTTTATATCCAGCATAGCCACTGTGGCAAGTGTGGGGGCAGGAGAGAGCCTTATTCACCAAAATCAATGTTGTATCCTTATTAATACTTTTTATAGTTAAGTGAGCTTCTCTTTGTAAAATATTTTATCACCTGCAAATGTCTCATTGTGTTCCAAACCCAAGCCTGAAAGCATGGGACTGGCCTGAGTTAAACCTGGCCCAGACCAGAAAGAAAATGGGCAAATTCATATTAAAAAGATGGCAATGGGTACTAAATTTGAGATAAATATTTTTGCAGTTACCACTTTTTAAAAAATCAAGTTTCATACTTAGCAGAATGAAATTCCAGATTTGAAGACTTCATAATTCCAAAGTACAAAGAAAAGGCATAATCTAATGCCTTTTGTGAAATATGAGCATTAGCACTACTGACCTATCTCCAAAAAGAGTCTAGGAATCTCAGAAAGACCACTTTAAGTATTCAGTCAACATTTAATTATTTGAATGAATAAAAGATACCCTGATATTATAAACAAATTGGTCCATGGAAAGTTATTTTACTTAAATGATGATTTCACAAAAGGAAGGAAGGAAGAAAAAGAAAGAAAGAAAGAAAGAAAGAAAGAAAGAAAGAAAGAAAGAAAGAAAGAAAGAAAGAAAGAAAGAAAGAAAGAAAGAAAGAAGAAAGGAAGGAAGAAAGAAGAGAAAAGCAGGAAGGAAGAAGAGAAAGGAAGGAAGGAAAAAAGAAGGAAGGAAAAGGAAAGAAGGGAGGAAAGAGGAAAGGAAGAAAGCAAGGAAAAGGAAGGAAGGAAGGAAAAGAAAGAGAGAGAGAAAGAGAGAAAACAGGTTCTATTGGACCCTTTTTAACTTAGCACAACCATAACATTGACATGGTAAAGTCAGACAGCCCTAACAATGAGAAGAGATACAAAGCATATCAAGGGGACTAAGGCCTGGCAGAACTGGTCATTCGGGCCTCCATTTAAATAATGCATCCAGATTGTAACATGATTGGTTTTGGCTAAAATACATCATATCAACTGGGTACATTAGCAGAGGCAAAGTGAATGGTTCTGCCATCCCTTGATTCAGGTGTTTTGCCACTGACAGGACTATAGAGAAACAGTCTGAGTAATGTTCTTATATCTGATACCAGAAGCAAATCAAAATCAATTTGCATTGAAATAAGGGAATAAAAATTATATATAAACAAATGTTATGCGCACATACTCAAAGAATACATAAGAGGTGCCATGGAGTATGGAATAGAGAATTGGCCTTGGAGTCAGTAATATATGAGTTCAAATCCTGCAACTGCCACATCCTGACCCTGTGACCTTAGCCACATGGCAACTTAGTGACATAAGTTACAGAGGAGTCACAAATGTGCTTTGGCACAGAGTTTCTACATAAGGAATTCCATACACTGAGAAATTGCAGGGTTTTTTTTTCTTTTCATTTTCACATACGTATACACACATATATAAACATATATACATATATATACATACATATGTATATGTGTATGCTGTATATGTATGTGTGCATATATGTACAAAGATACATATACACATAAAATTAAACATATATACATATACACACTTATATGCATACATACCTATTCCCCCCCTTTTTTAAATACAACCTTGCTCTCTCTGGTATCTGAGCCTCATTTTTCTTTAAAGTAGATGTTAAAAATACCAACTTTATAAGTTAACAGCATTTTAACCATTTAATCTCTATTTTAAAATGTATAACAAAAGGCTGATATCATGATAGAAAGTGATAGCCAAAATACCCAGAAAACTGCATATTTATCTAAAAGCACATACTTTAGGTCAGGGGCAAAAGTCTTCAAGATTTCATGATCTAGATTCAAAGAGACTGTCTTCTAAACCTAAAATCCCCCCATACAGCATTTTAAATGCTTTCAAGTATAAGTAGTCATACTGTACAAAACAACTCGGGAAAAATCCAAGTGATCCTATTCCATTTGAGTTCATATAAAATCTATCAGATCAAGTGAGTTGGTTGGTAATTTAAAAAAAAAAAAAAGCTCTATCATTTCTCTTAAAGAAATGGTAAAAAAAAGTTGTACATCTTCAAAATTCAAAAATAAATTCCAACAAATTAAATATGTTAACTTGCTGCAAATGTATACAGGTTTAAATATTTTTGAAATGGATATTTTACTCAATATTATTTTTTCAATTCCTATGAATTGAGTCAGAAGGAAAGTGATATCAGGATAATCTAATTAGGACAGAGATTTTGAAAACTTTGAGATTTCATTTGATAGGTCTGGGGTGGGGGAGAAGGTTTCCTACATAACATAAGTAAGAAATCAGGCATGCAAATTTCCTTTTCTAAAACACTGCTGCCTTAAGTTTATTGTGGTGATATAAATCTCATTTTAACAGCTATGTCACTATTGCAGTCACTAATAAATCTTTCATTCCCGGCCTTCAGAAACAGCCGCCAATTGTGTATTCCCTTTGCCCACAGTATCTGCATCCGTTAGTGCAGCTGGGGCAAGGCCAGAGCTCCATTCCAAACAGCCGTAACAGTCTTCATTGAAGCAGGAGCTCTTATCCCGAAACGCCCCCCTCCTCACTTGTACTGGAGACAAAATGACCCTCTACAAACATCCACAGATCTTAAACCTCATTTAATAACCGATCTGAAATGGAGGGGCAAACGAGAACTACACAGGAGCCCCATTTGCAGACTCTGCCGGTCTGGCCAGGCTTCCCCTGCTTTCCTCCTCAACGAGGGCTCATTTTAACACAGCACACAGCACAGCAACAAGAAGTTGATTTAAGAAATGGATTTCTAAGACATGCCTCTATTTGCTTTCATTTTCCTTTAATGTCATTATGCAGGAATCTAAGGAGAGAACAGTGGGCATTTATTAATGAGCTCTGGAGAAACAAAAATGTGACTAACTGCAAATTAAGAAAAAAATTCAATTTATTTAAAAAAAAAACTGATTCGCAATTGCCTTCACGTTTTTAAACATGATGGGCTAAAAGGTTATACTTTTTTTTTTAAATGATGCAGCCTTTTAAAAGCTCTAGAACAGTTTTAAGCATTTTTATAATTTTTATAGAAAAAGTGTCAAATATATCTCTACATTTAATAAAGGGCTTCTTTAATATATATATATATTTCAGTGCAAAATACCCAGGTCTTATTTTAAAAAAGAGCACACTACCCTCAGCCTCTCTCTCTCTCTCTAACAATCCAAATTACAGCCAGAGGGAAGAAAATCTTGGTTAGACATCCAGGCAGAACAGCCACATGTACAGTCACAAAATGATGGACTTCTCACAGGAATCATCATCAGTAAGAGATCACAAATTATGGATGTTGTTTGTCACAATATTCTCCCTCAATATCACCTTCAAATAAGGAGATTACAAAGCAATTTCCTTTGTTTTAATGACAGAAAAGACAGCATTCAAAAATGTCTAGCCAAAGCCTGGAAGCTTTAAAATATGCTCATCAACCAGCAAAATATTAGCAAATGATACCTCAAATCTTGGCCTCATAACAGAAAAGTGCTACATACATGGTCTGATCCCAATAAATATGGGCTGGACACATTTTCTATTGGCTGCTTTGGTGTTTCTTGGCTATA